AAAAAAAAAAAAAAAAAAAAAAAAAAAAAAAAAAAAAAAAAAAAAAAAAGAGAAGTGGCCAAGAAAGATTTCTTTTTGTTTATGGGTGGGGAAAAGTAAGAGCATGTTTGTATGGTGCTAAAAGGTTTGCCCCCGGTAAGAAAAGAAACTGTGATAACAAGGGGGAGAGTGAGCGAGCACAGTGTTAACTCAAGTACAGATGTTATCTGCTAACAGTCCTTTATAATAAAACTACTGGGCCGGAGAGATGGCTCAGAGGTTAAGAGCACTGACTGCTCTTCCAGAGGTCCTGAGATCAATTCCCAGCAAACACATGGTGGCTCACAACCATCTGTAATGAGATCTGGTGCCCTCTTCTGGTGTGCAGACATACATACAAACAGAACACTGTATACATAATAAATAAATAAATTAAAAAAAAATAAAACTACTGTCTTCAGAATAAGAACTTTAAACACACAAGAAAGAAAGAATTAAGTTTTCGGCCAAGAATAAGGAGTATTCCATGTTACTGTATCTGAAAGGAAAATGGTTGTTTCCTGTCTTATAGAAACAGTAGGGAACAAGCTTAGATGACATAAAGACTGTTTGCTGAGGGGCTGGAGAAGAGAGAGCTCGGCAGTTAAGAACACTGCCTGCTCTTCCAGAGGACCGGGTTCAGTTCTCATCACCCACATGGCAGCTCACATTGTCTGTAACTGCGGTTCAAGGGGATCCGACACCCTCACACAGACACACATGCAGGCAAAACACCAATGCACACAAAATAAAAATAAATAAATCTTAAAAAAAAAAAAAAGACTCTGCTGAGCTCTCAGGAAATAACAGATATTGAAAAACAGGTTCTTTTGTTTAAAGACCTTGACTATTTTGAACAAGGCATGCATAGCATTGCCTAAATTCCTATCTCTGTGTTCTTATGTAATCAATATTTAAATGTTAAATACCGCTTTCTGCTCTTTCCCCTTAAACTATATAACTCTCAGGCCAGGGTGTAGCTCAGTGAGCAGAGTGCTGGTCTAGCATACATGAAGCCCTGGCTTCGTCCCCGACACCACCTAAACCAGGTGTGATGGTGCATGCCTGAAGTCCTATCTCATGGGAGGCAGAGGCTGGAGGGTCAGGAATTTGGGATGAGATACATGGTATTTAGATAGAATATATATGCACACATATCTATGTACGTATATATGTCTATATTTCCATCAAATTTTTCAGCCTTATTTAACTCATGTCCCTGTCTCCCCTTTTTCCAAATCCCCCCATCATGTGAGTCTTACAAATCCAAGAACGCTTAGCAGCCACGAGTCCTACACTTACGTCTTCAGATCATCATTTAGGACAGGGAATTCTAAGTGTACTGGAAGCAGTGCTGTTGTGGGCTCTTGAGGAAACGTACTAAAGGCAATGCTTTGTGGAAAAGTTTAGTCTGCACACTTGATAGCTTTATTGTTCTGTGTCATCTAAGGCAGTCATTCTTGAGGGCTTGCCATCGGTTTTCTCGAATATGCAATCAACTTGCCAGTTTATAAGGAGTGCTTATCAGATGTATACATATTTAATAATATTACTATCTATATTGTTTATTACTGTGAAATCATAGGTGATAAATCCAGGAATACACAAGCTCAGCAAACAAAACCACAGCCTAGGTACACTTAAAATGCAGATTTGTGGACTCAATCCCCAAATATTCCACTATAACGGGGCTGAAGCAGTGCCTGGGAATCTGCATTCTTAGTGTCATCACTGAGATGACATTAGACTTGACGGAGGTAAGCAATAAATCATGAGACACCACAAAAACAGCATTCCAGGAACTTCTCTACCAATCTAGTTTCAAATCTCAGATTAGCTTAAACTGTTACATGAGGAAATGGCCCACCAGAAGAAGGCTAGCATTGTGACCCACAAATCTCTGGTTCTCAGAGGGTGCAATTCTGAAGTCGGAGAAATAGGACACTCCTTGCTTGGGCTTGGATGTAAATCCTCCAGGGCTGCAAGAGACACCACTGGGACCTCCTAGCCTGTGCAGAAAGCTGTCCCTGCTGAGGAAGTGTTTCTTTCTGCCTATCACCCAGACACGTCCTGCAGACACCAGTCATCTGTGTATACAGTCCACTTCAGAGGGCTGCAGCCCAGAGCTGGAGCAGCTGTCCAATTCTGTCCCACCCTGACTTTGTCCCTAGTCCATCCTTACGTCAAATATCACAAGTCTCAAAGAAAGGCCCTGCCTGCCCTGTCAACTTACACTGCTGTCTAGAAATGACACTATGAAAGGAGCCAGAAGAAAGAAAAGAGAGCGACCCACTTCTCTTTTACCTGGAGAGGTTTTTTAGAATCTGGTGAGAGTGGCGGTGGTGCCTTTAACTGATTCTGAAGACGACTGTCTTACTTCCTTTTTGATTGGCATTTTTTTCCTTTAGAAAGGTGAGAGACGGAAATGACAATGCTAAAAGTCTATCAGATGAAGAGCGGAAATGATTTGTGGAACACCTAAAACAAAAAGCCCAGTCTTGCCTCTGAGAGGACTTTGCCTTCTTAATGGGGAGACAAATACAACAAAAGATGAACTAGTCACACCGTCAGGGATCTCAGAACAATGAGGGCTCAACCTGGATCTTTACAACCAGCTCGGCTGGAAGAGCGAGAGCAAGGGTGTGAAGCGGGGGTGAGCTGGAAAGTGCATGGCTCACCGGCAAAAGCAGAGCCCCGTGGAGGTGATGCTAGTTCGTGCAGAACTTGGAAGGATGAGGGGCAGCCGGAAGACGGAAGCTCTGCTACAGAGGAAACCTAGACGGTCATGCTGAGGATCTGGGCATCTCATAGACAAGAGTTAAGTTCACTAAACTGTGGTTGGGAATGTGAATGAACCAGATATATGGGAGACAAGAATGCTTAAGGGGTGGTTAGAAAGGCACCCACCCAGGGTCTGATTAACAGGAAATAGGGGCCCAGAGTGGCAACATTATTAGTTTAATAATATACAACAATGGTTTGCAGATGTAGATGGACTATGATATCAAAATAAAGCCTGAGAGGTGTGTAATGTTTAAAACTTTCTAGTAACCTACTGTTTTGATGACAGGTTATGGAAGGAAAAAGAAGTCTTATTTTTATTCATAGTTCAGTTATCTCTATTCACTTCCCACGGCCAGTTGATCTGGCACTCCTTTAAGTACTGCCCTAGAGCGATTTTAGCCTGATAACAACCTGATTTCAGAGGTCAGGGAGATGAAAATCTCAGCTTACATTTAAAAACTGAAACTCTAGAAACTTGGTAGTACTCTTTTACACATTTCATATACTTATTTGTATGCTAATTGATGTGTTCCTACTCAATTATTAGACAAGGAGAAAGGCTGCAATACTTAAAAATGAGACGTCTATCTCACGGTGCTACTGATGCCCTGTCTGCAGAGGTCAGTGTGAATATCAACACTGTTCAGCCAACTGCCTAACAACGGAGTCAAACAGCAGAAACCTCTTTTGTTTTGTTTCTTTCTGTTACAAATCTGATGTTTGGGGCCTACGGAGGAGAAGGATGCTGGCCCTGTGGGGCATGTCCAGATGGAGACAGCACATTTTATTCCCCCAGGACCAGGCAGGCCTCACTGCAGTAGGGTGAGTTCTCTACTTGGGCTATGAAAGCATCTCTTCTTTACATCCTCCTAAGAGAGCTGAGTGGTACGTCCCTAAGTTTTCATTCTGGTATGTAGTAACCACTGTGTAATGTGGCCATTACTGTGCTGAGGCCAGCTTCAGTCCAGACCAAAGACAAGGTTTGTGGGCTGGAGATGGAACTCGGTGGTTGAGCAATTGCCTGAATGCACAAGACCCTGGGTTCAAAGTCTCTGAAAGAAAAATGTAGCTAAGTCAGTGATTCTTCCCTGGTCTATCTGGTCATGAGTGGGTCTCTCTGGGCACGAGTGGGTCTGACACATTATCTACTGGATCTATGACCGCCGCCATCCTCAACACAGCCCACACAAGGAGAATGTTTGGTTTTGCTCCCACCCATTCCCTTTACTGATTTCCATAACCATAGTACAAGCTAGAGAGCAATGTATCTTTAAGTTCTGAAGCTTCTGAATTATAGTATATGGACAAATTATCCAGAGCTCTGATCTGCACAAGTAAAATACAGTTCTGTTAATCCTTTGCCTTAAAGGGTGTTATATTTTGTTTTGGGGTTTGGAAAGATACGAAGCAAGACACAACTGGACCCTCACATAGGGCTTATTAGTCTAAGCACCGTGGGATGAATTCATAAGCTATGAATTCAAATTCCTAAGAAGCACAAAATTCACATCCATGCTAAAAATGAACATGCTTATTATTATACTTGGGGAATGACTTCAAGGTGCAAGGTTTTGTTCTTACAAACATTTATTTTCCTCCAAGTTTATGTTTTTCTGAAATGATGTGAAAAGTCTTCGTTCCCCTTTTCCCAAGTGTTGAGGTTCATTAAGTCAAGTCTTAGCCATAGACTAATCTTCATCTCTTCAATTGCTTGTATGTTGATTTAGTTTCGTATGTAAATATTTATATTAGTTCTCCTCAGGGATTTATACATTGATATATATATATATGTATATATATATTCCTGCAGAGATATAGACAAGCTTTCCCCTCCTCTTACCACTTGACAATACAACTGTAAGTGTGTTTACACAGCTGTTCCTTGGTCAAGGTCATTTGCAAGAGCAAGTCGGTTTCTGAAGAAATCTTGTTTGGTGGGTGAAGGATCCATTGAGGGGTTCTCATTACTTTTTTCCCTGTATTCTGATCCACTGGACCTAAAATCTCAGCACACAGATAAAGTACAGGTTGATTTGGTTTTAATTGTTTTCAAATATTTTATCTATCCAAATTGTTTTGCATTTGTTAAACAGTTGCCTGCTAGATCTGGAATCATTTTCACTCCCCTGAATTTCAAAACTTAAGATCTGTGTCTCTCCAATCTGCAGTGAACATACAGACTCTCTCTAATTCTTCATGGGGACAATTGTGACAACTGTGGATGTCGGTGTAAGTTACCATGTGAAAGCGTTGTAACAGGAATAAAGGCTCAAAAACATCTATCTTTGACTCAAGACAATAACTACTCGGCAGATTACCAAGGCCCTGAAATGAAAACGGTTATCACGGGCCCTTGCTTCATCTAGACATGACATTACAAACTCTTGCTTGTGCTTGTTTTCATTTTTAAAGGAAAGATTTATTGAAACCAACCACACATATTGCTACATTTGGTAGAACGCAGAAGTCAATACAGTTATCTCAAGCACCACACAGGAGCCCACGACTAGTCAGGAGTCAACTCAGTCCATTTGAGCCCCTAGTTGAGGGTGCGTTCTTCCTTTCTCTTGGTTAAACCAGTTGGGCAATCCATTCCAGCTCTGTACCTTCTCCAGTCTGTTCATGTCAGAAGTCCCTAGAGGGAGGAGTCTTTCTAGAAATAACCTCTCATACAGCTAGCCTGGGGCCCTCTCACTACTTAAACTTCCAGCTAGAATGGGTAAAACTAGCCCACTAACCAAGACCAGGTGTCAGAAGTCCTGGTGTGGGATGTCTGAAAGGGATGCTCCAGAGCTGCTGTTCAAGTGACCCATGTCTCCATACCCTGCATCCAAAACGCTCTCCCTGAACACGTTACGTAGGATAACTGGCTGCCCAGCTCTTTCATTGTCATGGTTTGAGTCTTTGTTTGCTCGGGAGGTTTTTGTTGGTTATTTTTTGGGATGGTTGCTTTACTTTGTTCTGTTTTGGTGGTACTGGGGATTGGCCCCGTCGCCCTTCACACACAAGGCAAGTGCTCTATTGCTATGTATCTATACCCAGCCCAAGTCCTTGCTACTAATAATTATTCTTACTAATTATGAATCTATATCTACTGAGCTTATTGGGAAGAATTCAAACATCCTTTTCTAGTATAAAGTAAAAATACTGGACCTACAGAAAGACTAAAGATGTCTGGAAAGTTGATGAATGGACTAGATAGTTTTACTTCTCAATTTAATATCAGAAAAGAAGCCATAGCTACCCAGCATGCTTTTACTTGATTAGAAGGAGGACATTCCCACTGTATCCCAGTAAATGGAGGAGAATTACTCTCTCTCCGCTCCAGTACATCTGGATACTTGTGAGATAAGAAGGAGGTATCTAGGTAGGGTGAACTTCTCTTTTCAAGGACCAGCCTCAACTTCCTGGAAACAGACTCACATTCTCCCTAAAACTCCAGGCTTGCTTTCAGCTCTCAGAACTCCTGCTTCCCTCCAGCTCAGATCATCCCTGGCTGGCACAGCTGTGCCCCTGACATTAGTGAGATGCACCTCGGCTATTCACTGTCTCCCTGTCTTCCAGTAGCTGGACGCCTAGAAGCCCTTGCGTTCGGGGGCAGGAAGCAGGGGTTAACTGCACCAGTGTCTTCTCAGTTGTTCTCCCCATTAATCTACTGTGAGACGGCACCTCACAGTTTCCCTCTTCCCTACACCTCATCTCTCCAGACCCAACACGTCACACTTGGAGGTTCCCACATGCAACTGGAGTTACCTGGAAAGGGGAAAGCTCTGATGTCACCACCAGCCCCAAGGACCACAGAAATCTTCACCAGTTGCGTTCCCATTTCTGAAACAAATGCCAAAATCGCCCTGTCTGGTTTCCGAAAACTCAGCTCAGATGGTTGTTCTTTTTGAACCGCTCTTCTTACAAACTGTACCTCCTCTTTGCTTCCATTACAAAAGTCTGTGTTTCTGAATATTAACTACTAAGTAGCTAGTGGCTAACTTGCTAATCGTTTTTTCAAATCCAGAACTCTACTGCAGCAAAGCTCATTTTCACTTTTTTCAAGACAATCTGAGCTGGCTCTCAACACTCTACAGGTATACCTGGACTATTCCAAAGGGATCGGGGTACGTAAGTAGGGGGAAAACCTGCAGAATCTAGACGGAGATAGTGTGTTTTCTTTTCATCCCCTTTCTTTGTAAAACACAGAAATGGCTTTTGAATGCCCTATGCCACCTGCAGGGCAAGCTGCTGGGCATATCTGAGCAGATACTAGGGGAGCAGTCAAGAACCCACAGTGAAGAGTACGGTGCTGTCAATGTGTCGTGACACACAGTCATCCACATCTCACAGAACTTCCTGTTCACCACCCTTCAGGTGACAGAGAAGAAGAAACATCCAAGGTGGGTAGGTCAGTAAGTACAGCTTAGCTACAGATCAGCCTGAAAAGCTGGAGATGAGGAAGGGAGGTAGAAATCAGGACCACAGACGTCTCTGACATAAAAGAGTTGGTTCTCTGATGTGAAAGACTGTCCTCCTCGAAAGTGTTGGGGCATTCACATGAAGAGGTCGGAGGAGGTGGAGGGGCACCTGTTTTGTTAGCCAGACCAGTCAACCGTGGCGATCACAGGGTGGTGACTGAGCACTCCAATTATATGCTATGCACTAGAACTTGGAGCTAAGCTACCCTTACTTTGAACTACAAGCTCCAAATGGGTAGGAGCTATTTCGTCGTGTGTGTGTGTGTGTGTGTGTGTGTGTGTGTGTGTGTGTGTGTGTGTGCTGGGAACAATCAAATACACTGAAGACACTTAAAAATAACTGATTTCAGATGACCTGCTGGGGAACATTCCCAACCAGAGTTAGGTGACCTCAATTACTTATCCTTTCAAGCATCCCCTCTTGAATTTGCAAATCACATAGGAAATTAAATGGGATAGGATGGAACTGCAAAGTGGTTAAGAGGGAGGCTGGGGCTTGGGGTGGGTTCTAAAGAGAAAATGAATATAAAATCAGCAACTGATTCTTAGAGTCCTGCCTGCTGTTATATGGACTGTTCCGCAAAGGAGGCATATACACAAACCGTTGAGAAGATACCAAAGAGGACTCCCTGACATCCAAATCTGTGGGCCTGCAGAAGTACTCCTGACCATGTGATGGGGAAAATCAATTTTGAGGCAATTGGTGGAGGGGCTAGGATGGCTGGAATAGAAATAATCATCTAAATGATGAAGTACTAAAAGGAAGAGAGAGGGTGACGTTAGGTGGTGTATTCTTTGTCATCTGCTACCCACCGAACTGATGATGAAGGCTGGAAGCACTGTCTACAGGCCTTACGCTTACACTGTCTTACATGCTCTCTTCCCGACTGCTACGCCCCAGCCAAGAATACTCACTTACCCAAGTGTAAGAGCTGTACACAGGCATGAAAAGCATTGGCCTCCGCTCTAACACAGTCTGGGTGAGGGTCTGACAGTGTCCATGTGTATTCTAGAGGGCACAGTTCCCTTCCATCCCAGTCAGTCAAACACTGGCCTTTCAGAGCAGGTCTCTTCCCCAGCTTCGGAGAATCCCATTTAAAATGTGTAGTCACTTTACATGCTCAGATTTGAACTAGCAGACCTCGTTCTGACCGATTCTGTACAGCTTTCGGGGATCTATGACCTGGTATCTACCCAGGGCAAATGGGAGACAATAGACGGGTTACCCTTTTCCTCAAATATCGTGGGCACTTTTTTCAGAATTTTTTTTTTTTTTTATGATGTCAACTTGACTCTGCCTTTGGAATCCTTCGGCCCTCCCAGCCTCAGAGGGAAGAGAACCCTTTCTCGGGTTTTCTGTTGCATCTGGCTCCATGCCTAGCTTCATCCCGAAGCAGCATTCTGGGTGTGTGGGGCCACCAGCCAAACAAGCCCCTATGGAACAAAAAGTGTGTCAGTGTAGACAGGACTGAACCTCCGGGGGGCTACAGGGGAGGAAGGTGGTGAGCCCCGGACGGAGCCCAGCTGGCTGTCCTGGGCCTGCCATGTGGACCTGGGCGGCCAGGCTCTGGGGTGGCCGGTACCCAGGGCTAGCTACTGAAGGTCCCTGGGCTTGCTGCCGACTGATTTCCTGACCCACGAAAGGGCTGACTTTGTTTCTACCTGCGCCTCATCTTTCACAACAATCTAGGTTTAAGTCTTTAATGATCTCCATATAGATTTTTCTAGAAGAGATGGTTTATCTTTCATCCTATACATTCCTGAGTTCAGAGTGCAAGTTCCTATGCAATGGCTGGGACCATGTCACTCATGGTCCTCTGTGCATGCCTGGAATTATGCACAGATACAAGAATGGTGTATTCACATTTGAGTTAAAGGCACAGGCCCTTCCGTGATACCCTGGGGCCTCCCGGCCCTTCCTCTCTGTAACACCATGCAGGAGTGTGGTCCTTAACAGACCTTCCAGGGTCTTTAGATGAAAAGCCCAGAAGCTAGTTAAGCTGCCTCTTTAACCCTTGCCAAGACTCTGAAGAGCTCCCTAAGTACAAAGCTGTAGTGGGAACTGCCTGCGTGGTGTGGATTGTCCCAGACCAGACCTTCCAAGCCAGGAAAGCCTGCCAGAGGAAGAGTCATCTAAGTGGCTCCACCTTCACCTCCACTCAGGTAACACTTGACATGTTAAATAGAGAGGACAGTGCCACTGTTGTTGATAGTACTATGACGGATGCAGACTGGTCTATGAGAATCTACTGGCCTTTTCTCTAAGAAAAATGCCCCAAGTTGCAGGATGACAGAAGGCAGTTAGCCAGTGTGAGTCTGGAGGGCCCCCAGTTTAAGTTGTCTGCAAGGTCTGTGGGGGCAGGGAGCTCCAGCAAATTTGTATGGCCTTCTCTTTGGGGGACCTTTAAAACTACAGGCCCAATACCACATTCATCTAGTTTGGGGTGACTTTTCAGACCGAGCTACAATAAAGCCAGAGTACAGATAAAGCAAATCTACATACTGGAAAGGACTGATGATTTCCCCAACAATCTCCGCCCAGTGTAGGAGAACTTTGCAGAGAACCCAGGCAGAGTCATCTAGCTCCTATTTCAGAGAACTCACTCTCTCGTGAGTCTGCCAGGTCCAGACAGGTGCATTTCTACAGTGCTCCTCCTCCTCCTCCTCCTCCTCCTCCTCCTCCTCACTGCTGCTAGTTCTGCCCTCTCAATACAAAGGGGCAGATCTGTCCCCTATGCGTCATGTAACTAATAGGCCATTCTGTTACATCTCTTTGATAAACAGGAACTTGTAAAGGAACCAATGGCGGATCTACTAATGATTGTTTCCCAACAAATACTGCTCAGTCATTATAAATGGTAGTGAGGAACAAATCATTATTTCTTTTGGGGAATCTTATGACTTTAAAAAATATCCAACAGACTCAAGCCATGTGCATCCTTAGGAGTTTGGAGTTCTTCCGAAGATCTAGAGCCTAAATCCCCAGTTTAGACTGGGAAATTGTCTACTTCTTCCAACTCATGTCATTAGCAGCTATAGATCGAGAAAAACCTAAATCCGTAATCCAGGAGAGGAATAAACAGTTCTTAAGCCCCAGTCCCTACGTAAAGTGACTTGAGGGTCCAGCAACAGTCATGCATGCACTGGGTTGCCTAGCAAAACTGGAAGGAGACTGTAGGGCTGAGGTTAACTGCAGGGAAGGAGACAGACTGTAGGGCTGTGGTTAACTGTAGAACCGATGTTCTTCTTTCCTCTTCCTCCTCCTTCTAGTAACAACAGGCAAGGACCAACAATCAGATACCCACTAATCTCAGCATCACCCTCCCATTGGAGGATTAGACAAATCATTAAAAAAAAAGGAAAGGAAAGGAAGCCAATTGTAGGCTTTCCCCACTTCCTCTATCATCAAGACCAGTAACAACCTTCCAAGAGAAAGTGGTTTCCCAGTAAGTCTCCAAGGGCAACAATAACATCTTCATTTAATTTTTCTAGTAATTAAAATAGAGACTCGAGATTGAAAATGACTTACAATGATCTCTAAAAAGAAGAAGTAAATAATGGGGAGCTGTCCCTCAGGGGGAGGAAGGCAGGCCTGAGGACCTGTGGAGGTAGAAACAGCAGCCACCCCGGCAGGCAGGGGCTAGACTGCTGAGTCGTGGGCTGCTTGAATGGGAAGGGTCATCTCTCACTTCCTTACATCTATGCTGGAGCCTGCCCCCCCCCCCTCCCAAACTGCAACACAGCACTGGCCAAAAGGTCTGGGAGGTAATGCTTCACGAAGTAATAAGACTTAGAAAGACCAAGGAAGGAACCATCTTTTGTTTCCCATCCAATATGGACACTGAAAGTTTTCACTAGGACCTGAGGCCAATCCATTCACTCAGGGAAAACCCTTACAAATTCCAACACAGATTTCTCAGAGCCGGGATGCCAAGGCCCATGAGGGCGGAAATGCTGGCATGCCTTCGTCACTCTCCACGTGTGGAAGGTCTAACTGAACACCCAGCTCCCATAGAGGATCCCTCTGTGTCAGCCCATTGGCCAGGGGGCACCCTCTGCTCGCTCCTCTCAGGACACCGCTCTGGGAATGAGCAGGAGGGATTTTAACAAGTGGCAGGGAAGCTGAGTTTGCTTCTGTTCAGAAACTGGGTACAAACACTGAACTTGAACCAGTTGTGTGAGACAGGGCTACTTAGTAATTAATACTGTAAAGACCTCCACCTTCTGCCAAAGGGCAGAGAGTTACAACACTGTTTTATCTAAGGGCTACTCACTTCTTTTTAAAGAGCTTGCGGAAAGAGCTGCGGAAGCCCCCTTTCTGGTCTTGCCTGGGGTTTTGATCGCTGAAAGAAGTCTGCTCACTCTCTCTTTCTTCCTTTGGACAGAATCGGGTGGCATCCTCTAAGTGCATCTCCTGAAAACACAAAAGAGGCATGTGTTTTTACTCTTTTCCAAAAAGGAGCTACCCTGGCTGTGGGACAGTTAGCTCTGCCGCCTGCCTCTCCTACCCCCCCCCCCATGACTACCTGTGGGTTCCAGTCCCAGCCAAAGCACACCTAGGGTGACGGAGTGAGCAGGTGGGAAGAGGAACACTGTCCGAGTGTAATTCTCTCTACAAATCAAGGCAAACCGTCCACAGCAGAATACACCGATGAAGATAAGTAAATAAAGGAAGCTGGCTAACAACAAAAGGCACGGACCGGATGGCTGATGGGACAGCTCAGCATGCAGAAGCACTTGCTACACAGGCCTGAGGACCCGGGTTCAATCCCTGGAACCTGCCTAAAGGTGGAAGGAGAAAGTGGACCCCTCAAATGCCCTCTGTCCTCCTCTGCCTTCTATTGCTGGGATAAATAAAACCATGATCCAAAAGCAGCTTTGGAAAGGAAGGGTTTATTTCATCTCACACTGCAGATAACAGTCCAGCACTGAGGGAAGTCAGGGCAGCATCTCAAGGAGGGCAGTGGCCTAGAGACGAGAACCGCAGCCCAAACCACGGACAGACCTTACGTACTGGCTTACTCTCCATGGTTTGCTCAGGCTGATTCAGAACACCTGCCTGGGTGCAGGACCCCTCCCGCCCCCCACCGCCGCCACAGAGGACTGGACCCTCCTCTGTCACTATTCCATGAAAATGCCCCTACGGACCTGGCTCCAGCCATCTGATAAAGGCATTTCCCAGCTGGCGATTCTCGTCCCAAATGACTCCTGTTTCTGTCAAGCTGACAAAAAAACCTGTCCAGGACATTTCTGACCTTGATATACTTGCCATGGCACACACAGTAATAGTGAATATATTTTTCTTCTATGTGTATGCATGTTTTGCCTGTGTGTATGTCTGTGTACCATGTGTGTATGCCTGGCACCTAGGGAGGCCAGAAGAGGGCATTGGAACTTCCAGAACTGGAATCACAAACAGTTGTGAGCCACCATGTGGGTGCTGGGAACTGAACCTGGGTCCTCTGGAAGTGCAGCCGGTTCTCTTAACCACTGAGCTATCTCTATAGCCACCATAAATAAAGGAAGTAAACTCTGCACTGGCATCACTTGTGTCTTGCTGAATAATCCAATACTCGACCCCTGGTATCTCTCGGTATGCTTCTCCTTCTACAAATTAAGAAAACTTAATATTAAGAGGGTTTTGCTACTGTTGTTGTTTAATTTACTTTTGAGGGACACAGAGATCAACAGGATGCTATCAACAATGTAACCATAATTTTAAAGTCCTGTTCCTAATTCTGTATTTTAGCGGAGAGTAGTTTTTAAGAGGTCAGACCTGTTGAGAAACGTCTAACTGGTGTGTCTAAACTTTGCTTTCATCCTACTTAAGTAACTCAGTGCATATTTAGAGTACAATTAAAAATAAAGACACTTCTTGTATGCACTTATTTTTAAATGTAAGATGTGTTACCATGTGCACACATACTGATTTTTTTTTTTAACTGTGTACTTGGTGTTTGATCTGTGTTAGGTCTGTGTGAGGGAGTTGCATCAACTGGAACCTGAGTTACAGGCAATTGTGAGCTGTGATGTGGGTGCTGGGGATTGAATCTAGGTCCCCTGGAAGAGCAGTCAATGCTCTTCACTGCTGAGCCATCTCTCCAGGCCAGGTGCACACATATGTAAGCGCATATATAAGTATGTGTTGGGTATGCACACAAACTTACACCCTACATGAACAGACTATTTTCCGTGGGGTGACGGTGAGTTCAAAGCAAGCTAGAAGCAGCTGCTCAACTTGAGTGACTCTAAGAAGTCAAAGCAGAAAGCACACCGAGGGCGCCCTGCAAGTCCAGCTGACCAGCTGGCTGCCCGCTCACAGAGGAGCAAAGCACGGGCAAGAGGTTTGCCTAGGAAACGTCTAGATCTGACTTTGAGACCTTCACTTGGGGTTGTAGCAGCCGACCTGCAAAGTCTGAGATGCTGCTAAGATTCGAAACTTCATAACTAAAACACAGAGACCAGCATCCTGGCAGCTTAGTGCAATGTTTCTCAAAGCATGCTCCTGGCACCCTAGGACCATCTACACTTGATTTTTCCTTAAAAAACACAGATTCTTAAGCCTGGAGTCTCTGAGTCAGAATCTCTAGCGTATACATAATTGCTGTACATACTTAGATATGAAAACCAGTTTCAGGCAAGCTTCTGCCCAATGCACTTCCTGTTTATGGCAAACATCTAACTGTGAGTCCTAAATAGTAGTTTCTGACTCAGTAGGTCTGGCTCCAGTTTCTGGATTGATAAAATTTATAAAATATAAAATTAGGCTGGGTGGTGGTTGGTTCACGCATTTAATCCCAGCAGTTGGGAGGCAGAGCCAGGTGGAAACCCTGTCTTGAAAAACATATGTATATATTTTATATCGCATCCACCACTACCTCCAAGACCACATTTTGGGAAGTGTCTGTGGGGACTGATGCAAGGCTATACTGCTAGCCAAAACACCTACTCAATGACAGAACATCCCGACTTAGAATTTAGGAGACCATAGAAGGAAGGAGCTTGGTTTTGCCTGTCATGTGGACCTCCATTAAAGTAGTCTTTAACTGGGATCCACACCAAATTCTCCGTTCATTATTGTTCATAAATTGTTCAAGGAAAATCTGTCTGTGGAACCATGGTCTTACTATTGTCTTCAGTTGGTACAGTATTTCATACTTTACAAAGCGTTCTCTCAAACTGCCTCCTCGGGTCCGATCTTTATGACGCTGTGAGGTAACCTGCTTCTTAGAAATCATGAGCACATTGATTATTTGGGATAAAAGGTGGGTCCACATGCCACGGCACATGTGGAGGTCAGAGAACGATGCAGGAATCAGCTGGCCTTCCACCGCGTAGGTTCCAAGGGTGGGGGGGGGGAATGCAAGTCATCAGGCATGGGGATAATTGCCTCTGCCTAACGAACAGTCTCACCAGCCAAAACTTCAGTGGCTTTTCTTTGCCTGTGTGTGAATTCAGGCACGCAGGTGCCAGGGAGCCTTTGTGGAAGTCAGAGGCAACTCCTGAGGAATTGGTTCTCCCCTGCCATCTTGGAGGATCCGGGCCAAAGTCAAGCCTTCAGGTTAGCAGCTCTGCCTGCTGAGCCATCTTGCTGTCCACTCAATGTCTTCTTTTTTTATATCAACTTATTGTTATCTATATTGGTGTTCTGTCATCTATGTCTGCCACCATGTGCATGCCTGACGCCCGAGGAGACAAGACGTAGATATCAGATCCCGTGGAGCTGGAGTTCCAGACTGTTGCGAGATGCCATGAGTGAGGGTCCTGGGAATTGAACCTGGGTCCTCTGGAAGAGCAGCCAGTGCTCTTAACTGTTAAGCCATCTCTCCAGCTCCCTAAATATCTTATTTTCGTAGATAAGAAAACTGGAGGCACAGGGGAGCCATGTGAATTGTCCAAAGCAGGCGACTACTTGGTAGCGGAGCCTGGGTTAGAACCTAGAGTTCCTACTACCCGGTCAGGTGCGTTCCGCATTGAAGCACAATGTCTTTCTTCCTGCCTGTCAGTGAAGGCACTAAAACCAGCTCTAGGTCTTCTGGCCACAGGTGGGGTACCGCAGACTGAAGCCGAATGGTTTTGCTCACCCCAACAGCTGAGTACGGACCCCTTTAAGGATATAGTTTCACAGGGTTATCCTTCCTGTGCAGCTCATGACCCAGTCCTCTCCCTACCTTAAATACAGATACACACACATAAATACACGTACACAAACATGCATGTGTTACAGACACATGCAGAAACATGTATATCTACACACATACACACAGCCCCTTCTCGCATGAACTCTGCATGATTCTTCCTTGGTGTCTCTTGACCTGATTTGGGTCTTCACATGTTAGGGAATGCTGGCATATTGTTATTGCTATGTGTTCACAAATGAATTAGGGCAAAAAAATCACATTTTTATGAACATGTAAATAAAAGCATTCTTTTGTTTGTTTGTTTGTTTGTTTTGAGACAGGGTTCCTCTGTGTCCTTTTGGTGCCTGTCCTGGATCTTGCTCTGTAGACCAGGTTGACTTCAAACTCAGAGGTCCACCTGGCTCTGCCTCCTGAGTGCTGGGATTAAAGGCGTGTGCCACCACCGCCAGGCATAAAGGCATTCTTAAAGCATGGACTACAAGTCTTCTAAGCTTGATGTAAGGTTCTGTCTGCATCCCTGTTTAATCTGGTACTATTATTTCCCCTTTTAATGAACTCTCCATATTACCTAAGATTGATTTGTCTCAGAAATTTTACCCAAGAAATTTTTTTAAGGTTTAGAGTCAAGAAACCAGAGACAGAAGAAAAATCTCAGACTCCTGAACAATGTAAGCGGTTTTGCTAGACTACAGTACTGGGTATCCTTCTCCTCTGCAGTTTGATTCCTGGAACCCAGGTGGGCAGCAAACTCCAGGGCTTGCCATGATCCATTCCCCTCCTGTTTCTGGGGCCTTCTTTCCATTTTTCCCAGCATGCCAAAGGAAAAGCATACTCAGTTGTTCTTTGCCTGAGTCTTTTTTTTTTTTTTTTTTTTTAGCTTCATTACCTGGCTCTTCCCTCGTAGCTTCTAAGGAGCTTTTAAAATTAATTCAGATATTCAATGTACCTAGAATGCATTCTCTAACATGATCACCCCAAGAGGTTTTAGATCTCCCTCCTATATGCCCCCAGTTCATCGTAATTCCAGGTGCTAAGCCTGTGGGGCATTCTGGACTGTTTATTTCTGAAGCTTCAGTAATTAGCACACAGAGCTGGTACACAGCAGGCACTGTGCTGGCTGGGAAATTAGATGAGTCTGTAACCATCAACTTGACCCACTCTCTTGATAAGGAGTGAAAGGTGGCGGCACCGGTGAGTGCCATCATGTTAATGAGCTTAATCAATGGTTTCTGCCACATTGAAAACCTGTGTGTCCGCCCAGGAACCGCCTGCCTCTTCGTGGTTGTGGGTTGGAACACACTTTTACGTACTCCAAGGCTTGGAGACACCAAGGACAGCAGCCATCAACATGCCTCAACATTCATCGAAGCTAAAGGTGCATTGGAGTCAATACAGCCTTTGCTAAGAGAAAGCAAGCGAAAATGAATTCTCCTTGCAACCAACTTCGAAGCCGACACTGAGACGGGGCAACGTGCGTCCTCCCCAGATACAAAGAAAGACAAGTGGGAGCGGCTAGCACACGACGCTCCGTATTTTGCACATCTGGACCAGGAGGTGCACCGAGCAGACCGTGCATCCTAAAGAAATCAGTGCACTCATTTTTTCTTTTTCACTGTCTAGGTGTGCGTCTCTCCCTTCCTCCTGGTGTGTCTCCTCTTTCTCTCCTTGCTTTCCTGCTCTGGGTGTGCTACCCGCCCCGCCACTCGCCTTCCAATGCCACCCAGGCCGGAGCCCCGTCAAGTCACCGCGGGCGTGCACGGGCTCTGCCTCCGCTTCCTCCCTCCCCGCCCAGGGAACCGGGGTGGGGGGTGAGGATGGGGGTGGGGGTGGGGGCTGACCCTGAAATTCTAGGCTCCCCCGGGGGAGGGGGGGAGGAGGGCGCCGAGGCGGGGCTTCGGCTCGGTTTTACTTTACCCTCCTTACTTCCAAATAGGTCTGTTTTTCGCTTTGGGACCTCTGTTGGGGGAAGAAGG